CCCTTCCGCAATTGTGCTTCTTTTAGTTCAACATAGCTTCTTAATATCCATGAAACAATCTTCCCCTGATTGTGCATGAACACCTTGCGTTTGCCGTTATTTTCGGAATTCTCCTACAAGGTTGGCGACCTCTAAGGACCGTGATACTGGCCAGCTGGGACGCTGAGGAGATATCTCTGATCGGTTCCACTGAGACGACCGAGCTCTTCAGAGAGGAGTTGAATCACCGAGCTGTAATTTACATAAACCAAGATTGTCCCATCAAGGGCAATGCTACTTTCAACGGCCGAACCGATCAACTTCTAGCCGATGCACTGCTTGCATCTGCAGCCGAGGTGTACCTTGACCCTCCGGGAAACAGATCGCTTTTGGACTACTGGAGAGAGCTGCAAGGAAAGCCACCAGGCGATCTGCCTGAGTAAGGACTACTTTGATTTTACGACAGTAATCGAGACATGAGCAATGGCCAACGCATTACCGACCTATTTCGAATATATGTTAGGAAATCATGAGTGAAAGGTTGTCTACTGCCTGTTGTAGTCGTTTGCATTGTTTCACCGAACTTATTTAATTGTAGGAAAAAATAAGACTTTTCTGTCTTACCTTGAAGCCATTCTCTAGAGCTCACGCATTTGATCGCTTAGAGAGTTGCAGTTCAAAATCTAGAAGCATTATCAACAGAGACGAGGGAAACTGGAGTAGTCATTTCAGGCTTATTTGCCTTTGGCAGCCACCCGTGCCCCAAACCCATGCTAGGTAAACCCGGGGTCTGGACTCGGGTTCAGTTGGTATCTCCGTCGGTTAGATCAGAATAATCAATCATAAGGGAAAGTTGTTCACTAGTTTATCCTGATCGTGCCCGCCCACACATGGCATTACTATTGAATTATCCTCCTCCAGCCAGAGTACACCCTTAAACAAAAAAGTAGTCCCCCTTGTGTTCTGCGGAAAGTGTGTCCGGTTATTGCTTAGCCTTCACCCGCTCTAGAATGCTTGCAATCACACATAATAAAGATAGTTTCATTTATTTTCCGTCGCTGGATGATAGGCCAGCCTTATTCAGTAAGGAGGTCTGAGCCCCCTCTGAACATGATGCCAGAAAATGGACGTAAGCGTTTTACTCTAAAAAGTTCAAGACAAGTGCGCGGAACAGCCAATGGCCTCTTGACTCTACGCATGTTGTGATTACGCAGTCAACCTTGAAATGCTATTAGTCGTTTTGTCGACCATTGTCTGAGGCCACTTCTTCCTTGCCAGTAAGACAACCTCAGCAAAACTGAACCGAACGCATCCCCGAGTAAAGTGAGCCAAACCAAAGTTGTCGTTTTCGCGGGGCGGTTTCTATATTGTCGTTTTTAACGAATCTTTAAAGTTTGACATGTCTGTTTTGTGTTCCCAGCGAGCACTTCCCTCTAAATTACTTTTTTCAACTTTTAGCACTACTCCTCCACTGGGAAGTACGGACAATGTGCCTTTTCAGTATAAGCTAGGTGTACCATCCATGTATCCCGAGTTTCGCCCGGTTAGTCCTTACGTTAACTCTTCTCATAGTCTTTTTTGCCTGTCGACATTCACGCTACTTACTTATTGCTATCATGCGCAGACATTGGAGCCCCGAGAAGACGTTGCTCGCCCGTCAGTCTGCCTGCCGATCATCTGACGCGCGGCGGATCGTGGAAGTGACTTCAGCGAAGGCCACCCGCACAGTAAGATCTGACGAGCATGCAGTTGCAGATCGTGCAACAGCAATACCCACCAGCAAGTATGAGCATCGAGCTGACAGATCCGTTTTCCATTAAAAGAGAGGGGTCCTAAGGCGGAAATTGCGACGTAAACGGCAGTCAGTGACCTCATCAAGTTTCTGGACCTCTCATTTAGTTGCCAGAAGTGAGTTCCGGGAAGCAGTCAGGAAGTAGGAGACGCGATCGCCGGAACAAACGTTTTATTTGTCTGAAGTTTCGAATTCATCATCAGAAACAGAATAATAAGGACAATGTTTCGCACAAATGTTACTGTATTTACAGGGTGCAGTTACTATGCCACTGAATGCCTATCAAAGTGGCCGGCTCCCACACTCGTCAGAGATGGTTGCACATCGTTCACTGATTGCTTGATTGTCCGCAGCTGATTAACTGCCACAAGTTCATCACTTATGTCGATTCTTGCTGTGATAATGGCCGGGCACATCGGCTCACGTACACGGATCTTTGCGTAATTACACATCACTAGACATTGTTGTGTAAAAAAATATAGAATACGGGCCGAACGATGCGTGATAAGCAACCAGAAAAGTCATAAACTATCGGCGTTATGGGAGGGCGGGGCCGGCGATAAGCAGCACCCGGGAGGATAGGGGACGAGCTATATGAAACAGGCTTGAGCAGATCAAGCTTGATAAGCGGACAGTACGAAGTGGTAACCAGATCTACGAAGGGCCATGGCCGAGATCTGAACATTACGAGGGAAGAAAAGGACCATTTAGCCCATTTAAATTTCCACTCCATCGGCACCTCGCAACACTTTGACTATTTAGATTTTCGCCGAAACGACGCTTCATTCAGTTTGGATTTCAGCTGGATTCCAATATTTGATTGCTCGTATTGACTTTATTTTAGGCCTATCCTATGTTTTCCGCGCCGTCTTATCATTCTGAATATGACTCGGTCGACATGGCAGTCAAATTCACAGACCCTCCCTCTACCACAGGAGAGCTACTGCCCCTACACCGCCTGCTCGCCAAACTTAATCTCAATCTTATCTTTCGCTTCTCAAGTTCAGCTCTTCTTCCAATATCGGCATCTACCTTGGCCTCATCCTTAAACCGCAGCTGGGTGGAGTTTGAACAGTTTGCTAATTCTCAAATTCTGGATATCCGTGAACATGGTATTAGGTTTGGTGAGTGTTTTGAAGTGTGTTATGGACTTCCATTAATAGGGCCGATATGTGTAGTGACCACATTTGCACTAGTAAGCGTAACTACTTTGGTCCATCTCGATGTCCGCGAAATCCGAACTCGCAACTCGTCTCCTAGCCGGTTCCGCCCGTAAGTAGGGCTTAAAGTAGTCAGTGCTGTTGAGCCTGACCTAGAGGAAGGAGGCAAACATTCTGTCCTCGGGAAAGGAGCTAAATGAAGCCTGAAATATCTGGATCGACTCTCACTTTTTATGGCAAATCCGATACGCATCCAGTTTACCGCGACCCAATAAATGCCATGGCTTAGAGGACTGCCGACCGGCGAGATAACTTGATCCTGTGGATCGATGATCCGGTGACGGCGGCACTTTAATCTAACTTTGTGACATTCTATCGACTTGATATCCGTGTGGAGTCTGATTCATTCCCATATATGAGCTAACAAGTGCGGGATGAGCGTAGACGTGGCGAATGCCAATTCAGTCACCACGCCTCACCTCGTCATCGGTAACCCTATTACTTGATTACGACGGGCGTGGGGAGGGAACGAAGGCGATCCTTCGCAAGTCTGTTTTACTGTAATCCACTTTACACGCAAATCGTCACCGCTCCCCGAATTTTTGGTGGCCATGATCACGTTAGACGGACGGCCATTTGAAAAATCGGCTCAGTTATTGGTTCTTTCGTTTTAATCTGAAAAACCTGAACTGACACTGCCCTTATTTTACCATGTCTCACAGTTGCAAAGAACGATTGAGCTTACATAAAGTTGAGAACTATCCATCTTCTAGGAAACCGATTTTGACCACATGAGGCGCAGTTAATCGCGCCGCACGCGCTGTCATTTTTCATGCTCTGTACGCGTGTTTTTATTTTTAGACTATGTATCCTCAAAGATTGCCCGCCTAATCGATTCCGCGCGTAGTTTTGAATCATGGGCGCTACAAACTGAGACCAAAAATCCTGAGTAAGTCGCACCACCTGGAGGATTTCTCATACTGTTACCAAGCTCATTACCAAACACTGTTATATATAGATGCCTTTATTCTGCATGCTAACTTTGATAGAGTGTAATCCGTTTGCAGAACAGTATTGCTTTAAGTACAGGTAAAGGACCCCCAGGTAAGCTGAATATTGCCTTGTTGTCTTTGCCTGCCCACCATCTCCATTTCAGCAATGAGCTAACTCAACGACTAGCCAGCCTTCCAGTCGCCGCCGCCGCCGCTGCTGACGAGAACGCCTCTGTGGAGAATCGATGGTGTCAACTGTCCGGTCGGCGGCCCTGGCCGTCCTCGGTCACGCACGACGCCAGCACCAGGACCGGTTCGATGACAACGACGCGGCCGTCAGCAACCTACTCGACGAGAAAAACCGCCTGCGCAAAGCCTACGCCACCCGTCCCACCGACGACAACGAAGCAGCCTTCTACCGTAGTCGCTGCCTTGTGCAACAACCGCTGTGGGCACTTCGGAAGCCTCCGCAATCGTCCCTCCACCATCTCCGATGCCGCCATCGCCCGTCTGCCTCAAGTGGAAACCAGCGTAGACCTCGACCTCCCGCCCTCTCTCCACGAAACCATCAGGAACATGCAGCAGCTCTCCAGCGGGAAAGCGCCCGGATGGGACGCGATCCCTTCTGAGATCTACAAGCACGGTGACACCCAACTCATGGATCATCTGACGACGCTTTTCCAGGAGATTTGGCATCAAGGAGAGGACCCGCTGAATTTTAAGGACGCCACAATCGTCTATCTCTATAAACTGAAAGGTAATCGCCAGCTCTGCGACAACCACCGAGGCATTTTCCTGCTGAATATCACCTGGAAAATCTTCGCCCGCATTCTCCTCAACCGTTTGAACAGCCATCTGGAGCGGGATCTGCTGCCGAAAAGTCAGTGCGGCTTTCGTCGTCATCGTGGGACCACGGACATGATCAGCGCTGCCTGTCAACTGCAGGAGAAGTGTCAGGAGATGCGGACCCACCTCTACTCTACCATCGTGGATCTGAAGAAAGCCTTCGACACAGTGACTTGCGAAGGACTGTGGAAAATCATACACGAATTCAGCTGACCCGAATGATTCACTCAGATGGAGCGTCAGCTCCACGCTGGCATGACGGAACGCGTCATGGACAATGGATTCGTCCCAGAGACATTCCCAGTGACCAACGGAGTGAAGCAGGGCTGCCTCCTCGCGCCTACCCTCTTCAGTCTCATATTCTCCGCCATGCTGATGGACGCCTACCGTGACGAACGTCCTGGGATCCGCATCGCCTACAGGACGGACGGCCAACGCCTTAACCGTCGGCTAATGTACTTCCAGTCACGTGTATCAGCTACTTCCGTCCACGAACTTCTGTGCGCCAACGACTGCGCCCCCAACGCCACCTCTGAAGGGGACATGCAAAGTAGCATGGATCTCTTCGTCGCCGCCTGTGACAACTTCCGCCTGGTCATCACCACGGGAAAGAACGGTGGTTATGCATCAACCACCACCTGCGCCCAACTGCAAGTCATGGACAACTTCACCTACCTGGGCGGCACCCTCTTCCGCACCACCAAGATCGACGAGGAAGTGGCCCGCTGGATCTCCAAAGCCAAGCAAGCCTTCGTCCATCTTCAAAATACCGTCTTGAACTTTCACGGTCTCCATCTCAGTACCATACTCGAGATGTACAAAGCTGTCATCCTGCTGACGCTGCTGTATGGAGCGGAGACCCCGACTGTGTAAAAGAAGCAGGCGCGAAGACTCAATCACGTTCACGTCAGCTGTCTTCAATGGATACTGAAGCTGAGGTGGCAGGACCGGATCCCCAACACGGACGTACTGGAACGGACGGGAATCCTCAGCATCTACGTCATACTGAGACAGCAACAACTGCGCTGAAGCGACCACATCGTGCGCGTGGACGACGAGCGGCAACCCAAACTGTTCTTCTATGGAGATGTTGAAACGGGTTCCCGCTGGCAGGGAGGTCAAGTCCATCGCTCCAAAGACACTCTGAAGACTTCCCTGAAGCGTCTGCAGATCAGCCCGGCCAACTGGGAAGACCTCGCCCGAGACCGACCGCTCGACCTGGAGGAGGACAGTGAAGACAGGTGCAGCGATCTACGAAGCCAACTGCATCATTGCCTCCAAAGTCAAACGCGAGACTCGCAAATCTCAACTGCGCCCACCCCGCAAGGTAGGTCAACGCTCAACCGCCCCCGACCTGCCCACGCTGACAGCGGACGTTCCAGACACCAACCGGCCTTATAGGACACTTCCGCACCATCTGAAGCAACCGGACTTCACCAGTCGCTGTCTCCCCGTCCAACTCCGCCTCATCCCCACGCCGACAACACCGGCCGCACTAACGAACTCCCTGCCCCCTTCTTCTTCTTCTTCTTCTTCTTCTTCTTCTTCTTCTTCTTCTTCTTCTTCTTCTTCTTCTTCCTCCTCCTCCACCTCCATTGCCTCACAATCCTGACGCATCCACAAATATCAACCTCCCCCCCCACCGTCAACGGCAGCGATATGGACTCTATCCATATCTGTCCTCATTGCGATCGCACCCTCATCTGGTCGGTCACTTGCGAATCCACCGCACAGGGACTGGGGAACCATTGCCTGAAGCACCCACATACACCCGCTGCATCCTCCTCAACTGCCCTCTCTGCACCCGCACATTAACCCACCGCATGGACCTATTAGGCTACATGCGCATTCACGAAAACCTGTGGTAGGCAAACGCCGGCTAAACCACACCATCACATCTTCCCGCACCTACATCACACAACATAACCAAAGACCACCTACACCCAACTTCCATCACCCACGTGAGTGGGAAGCGTGCGTCTCGACTCCGTCTCCATGCATCTCCTCTGCCGCATGTGTGATCCGAGTCTGAGACTATCACGGTGCGTCAATCACCGTGGCCTGAAAGGCTGCTGACGGACGCCCCAGTTATGTGAGTGTATGTGTGGAGTGACAGACTAGTGGGTTGAGATCCAGGGTAAAGCGGCTCTCTACTAACGTGACCTACGCACTCACGTATGTACGATGTACGCCGCCAACCCGCGTTATGTGAAATCCTGGTGCTTGTGTTTGGGGGGCCAGGTCGTGCATGTGGGCACGCAGACAAAGTCACTGGACTAGGTCAATTATCGCGCCCATTCTCCGCACCTGCCAACTGACTGGGGCCTGAGAATAGGAAGGGAGAGTGAGGACGACAACAACGCAACTCCTTCTGTTTGAAATCCTGGTGCTTGTGTTTTGGGGGCCAGGTCGTGCATTTGGCACGCGCAGACGAGATCGCTATATATGTCAGCCACCACGTCCATTCATCGCACCTGTCAACTGACCGCCTCGGACAGTGACTGGGGCCTGGGAATGGGAAGGGAGAGTGAGGTGAACAACTCGGCGCATTTTCCTCACTTGAAACAAACTGACGCGCTTGAAGCTATCACGGTGCGCTAAAAGCCGTGACTTGGAAGGTTGCCAACTGACGGGATAACTTGTGTTTGTGTGGAATGGTCGGCTGGTGGTCTCAGGGTCAGGCTGCAATGGCTCCTTCTTAATGTGGCCGTTATAGCACTCCGCGGGATCCGAGCCAGGTGTGGCGGCATGTCTAGGTGCGGTTTTGGCCGTGGCAGCCTCCATTTTTTGTCGTTGTGGGCTAAAGTCCTTGTCAAGTGTGTGTTGTGGACCGGGGAATGTGGTGGCACACCTAGGTGCGGCCTCGGCCGTACCAGCCACCTGCGCCCTCCTCCGCCTCTTGTCATGAGTCTGTCACGAAACCAGGTCCAGGTGGGGAGTGGGAAGAGTGAGTGCGGTAGATGCTGTGCAAGTCCACACTCACTATAGATTAAATCACGCAGAAGTCACCGTCCCTGCTCTGACCTTGTTGTGGAGCACACGGTGGACATCGTCGACAACGACGGTTTATCTGCCGTTGGGATGATATCCTTTTGGCTCAGCTGTATGCATCCCAGCGGCCGTCACCCAAATTATGACGGGATGTGGCTGAGGGGTACTAGGTAGAAGTGCCAGCCTATGTTTCTTCCTCTTCGAGCAGCGTAGGTAGTCTTTAAAATATAGTTGCCTTTCACCATGCCTTTGCCCCTGTGTAGATAAACGCGATCCACAAAATACAGTTCACACAAACCCGCTCTGTTTTGCGATCAGAGCAGTTGGGCATGCGTTTCTGTAATAAATCTGTGACCTGTTGAACCATAACTCTCATTAACCGACCGGCTACTTCCTAGCCCGATTTCTCATGCCCGCAAAAAGCGTCTCGTTTGGGAGTCGAGGTCAGGGTGCGTTTTTCGCCTTCAACCTCCATCAGTATCAATCTGAATTCAACAGCCTTCCCCAAACCACCCCTCGTTTGTTCGCTACCGTGCCCCTTGTAATGTTCCCTGGGTTTGTACATTGTAGGTAAAGTCCCTCAGTTTCGCCCTTTCGCTTTCACAACCAAATCAGTTCTCGCCAGCGTAAGATTACCAAATTGACCTTTTACGAGCATCCCTTTTCTTATTCAACATTTTATTCTTTAGGGTAGATCCCTTACAGCCACCCCCTGTGTCTTCAGTGTTCTGGTAACAGCACATGACGGCCTCATGAACAGTTTCCTCATATTTAAGTAATTTTTATCCGACATCTGCTTAAGGTATGGACAGTTGTTCATAGCAGTCAAACCAGAAATGGTTGTTCGGGTCTTTCTTTTCCTTGTCTGATTTCGCCCTACTTGTTTATCATATTTTTATTTCTACATCGTTGCCGTCTTTGCGTTTACTCCCACCCATACTTTAGTCGTTTCGAGCTCTGGTAAAGATTTTCTCGTGATTCTAGTGAGGACATTTACTGAAACCCTACATTGACTTCTACGTTTTAGGTGTCTTTTTGTTCTAAACAACATACTCGCAAAACTTTCAAGGCACTTTATCTTCCCCTTCGGTGACATGGCGCTGAGGCATGTCCTCATCGATACATCTTACGCACAAAGCCATGAAAAGAGCTACTTTCCTAGCCTGCGAAAGGCGGTAAAGAAACTAGCAGCCACAAACTCCACTCAAGACCTCAAGCAGTTAAAGTTGGAACTCTCCATTTTGACAACTGCTCTGGAGTCGGCTGCCAGCTGGATGCTTGGGGGTGTCGTCGGCTTGGAAAATCTCCTGAACGGATGCCGGTCACCACTGTCTATTACCCATGCCATCTAGATCCTACCTTCACACAATCTGCTCAGATACTCCTCACACTACCTCTGCTTCTGATTAATAAATGATTTCTATCTAACATCTTTCTTGTTTTAAAGCTGGTAAATAAAGATATTGAAGTCGGGCAGTTATCAATACTTCCCCATGCAGCTCTCCTAAACCTAGTCGAGTTCAGAGCCTAATTGTATGCAAATGGAAAGGTAAAGGGTGAACGCCTCAAGGGCGAATTCCCCTCTACTCTGGGATCACTGCCTGTGAGGTAGTTCTGCTTTCGCTGTTCTTCACACGTATGCAGTGACCGTCCGCTGCGAGCAGTTTCTGTAGATTACTGAGAGTTCTTGGTCAGAAGCTGTTGTGGAGTAAACAGACGTTTTTGTAGGCTTTTATACTCGAAAACAGACTCAGGAACACTCGGTGGTGGTCCATGGGTTTCGACGTATCTCGCTAATTCTAACAGGTCAGTAGCCTTGAGAACAGTTCGAATTTGTATTTATGGCTTTCACTGCACTCACCTCTCGGTCTCTCATACCACCCAATTCACTCCGATGGCAAGCTAAGTCAAGATTACCGGCGGTGACATCAACCCAGCGTCTGGAAAGGCCAAACAGTCCGTCGTCGCGTGCTACACGTTACCTATCCATTAACTCCAATGAGGCTGGACTACACGCAAGGAGCATTAGATATTGTGTGAATGTCACGATGACCACATGAACCGATGAATCCTGACTTTTTACTCCTCAGTAAGATCGGATTGTCCCATCAGTTGGAAGCCTTCCAAGCAGAGCTAAGTACGTCAAATATGTTGCGAAGAAAATGCTCTGGTTTGCCGCGAGGAAGGTTATCTCAGGCTCGATCGCGCTCTCCCCTCAAGCACCAATAAGTGGGTAAGCTCTCGCGCACTTGCCAACTTGGCTTGGGAGTCGCCGTCTACGCGCTCCACGCAGTTCCTGGCCTTTTGATCAGATCACTGAGGCGCAGAACTTGGGTGCATAAGCGCCCACATAGGATGTTTCACCAGGCCCAACGGAGTTGGCAGATTGCGTCGCATGGATGTCGCAAGAGGAATAGATGGTATTTTACGCATAAGTAACGCGTACACGCGTGTGACCGAAGAGCCCACTCATATTCGACGGGTTTTGTGTGCAAGGAGGGCCCGGACCATGCTTTTCTCCTGATGATTATCATGTACAAGTCCGTGGCCCAATGGGCTCATATAGCCTCTGAGCGCACTGCGACCATGGCCAGGGAAGGCGCGGATGATGCGTACTGGTAGGCGCCCGTTCTCCAGTCTCGTTATAGATTCCCAGCAGGCCAACCGGGGCGATGAGCGATCTCAATGAGGACCAGTCTGCTTTGTGCCTATGCTGCTGATGGTGGTAGTGGTGGTTAGCGTCCTGATGCCAAGATACCCGACCAGAACTGGCCGAGAGTGGAACACAATGTTAAATTAAGAATTGACTAGGAGGACACGCTTCTGATGGTGGTGGTACGCAGGTGTGCAGAGGGTATGTTGGCGGTTTTGGTGTTGTGGCGAGTCCAACGGTGTCCAGCAAGACCAATACAGACCTTCAATACGTGTGCGGGCGGTGGGCGTTGTTCGACGCATCCCAGCCCCTTGCCCCTGTCATGACGCCTGTCATATTTGGTTTATAACGGCTCGCCACTCCTGACTGTCCCCTGCAAATGTCTTCCAGATCCCTTAGTCCAATCTAGAGCGTTTAAGGGAGACCCAGACTTGTCCTTTCAGCGTCATTCTCCGCCCTATCTGCGACTGCTCGTAGCGGCGTCCCCACGGCAGATGCCCATTGGTCATCTTCACCCTGCCACCCCTCTATCAATAGCGATAGTGTACGTCACAGAAAGCAGTTAAGAAGTAGACGCTATCGTTGGGAGGACTTTACTTTTTTGACATTTTGGATTCATGCTCCATCATCAGAAACAGCATAAGGTGCGGTAATCCATGCACAAAGGTTGCGGTATTTACAGGATTCAATTGCAATGTTGCCCCATACTGAGCTAGCTTAACGCCTCCTCCTTCAGGCGCCAACTCATGAGGCCGAAAGACCCACTGCCATGGCAGGAAATGTCAGGAGTCGCTAACGGGATCTGGTGCAGTTGTGGACAAAGCAACTACGTCGGAGAAACCGGCAGATTAATCCAAGCGCGAATTTCTTAACAAGCAGCAGCAGTGAGGCGGGGAGACAGTAGCTCTCAGGTGGCGGCTCATTCGACGGTACCCGGCCATAGTTCCAAGTTTCAAGAGGCCGAAATCCTCGCAAATGGGGACAGCCGCGTGAGCCGCGAGCCGCTAGAGCCATGGTTCTTAGGCCCGCAATCCATCAACGGGCACAGTGACCTCCCGTTACCGTATTTTGTTCTGAGATTTTCCCTAGACATGGAAATCAGTTACGTGGAGAGGGAGTGGGTGAGTAATAATCCCAGGGACAGTGGGCCAATTTGCGGTGCAATCGTCAC